CAGCTGTCTAGGTGCTGTTTGCATATGTGGAGTCAGCTGTCTAGGTGCTGTTTGCATATGTGGAGTCAGCTGTCTAGGTGCTGTTTGCATATGTGGAGTCAGCTGTCTAGGTGTTGTTGAATATGTGTAGCAAGTTGTCTAGTTGCTGTTTGCATATATATGGCATAAACTTTCAGGTTTTATCACAATAAACATTTTGACACATGTAAAAATTACAAAAGAATTGCAGTTGTGTCAAAGCATAGATACAAGGTAAAATTTGAAGCAAACAAGCTCTGCTCTCTGATTGGTCTGACTGTTAAGTGTTGGGTTGGGTAGCCAATCAGGCACAATCTTGTAAGTAGCTTTGCATTGACCAAAATGCAGCTCTTAGTTATTGTTGTATCATAAAAATCTGTGTATTTTTGTATTTAATAGTGACAATGCTTGGATTACTGGTCTTCCTAGCAGTGAGCTAGAATACTATGATGGAGTTATCAGACTCACTTACAGCAATGGAGATCCATATCGCACTACAAATAATGGTCAAATCAACAGACAGGTATGCTATGAAGTTTCAGTCTTCTTCTTGAAAGGGGTGTTCTACCTGAACAGGTTAACAAGAGTGAATGTTCTACCTGAACAGGTTAACATGAGTGAATGTTCTACCTGAACATGTTAACAAGAGTGAATGTTCTACCTGAACATGTTAACAAGAGTGAATGTTCTACCTGAACATGTTAACAAGAGTGAATGTTCTACCTGAACAGGTTAACAAGATTAAATGTCTACCTGAACAGGTTAACAAGAGTGAATGTTCTATCTGAACAGGTTAACAAGAGTGCATGTTCTACCTGAACAGGTAAACAGGAGTGAATGTTCTACCTGAACAGGTTAACATGAGTGAATGTTCTACCTGAACAGGTTAACAAGAGTGAATGTTCTACCTGAACATAATAACAGGAGTGAATGTTCTACCTGAACAGGTTAACAGGAGTGAATATTCTACCTGAACAGGTTAACAGGAGTGCATGTTCTACCTGAACAGGTAAACAGGAGTGAATGTTCTACCTGAACAGGTTAACATGAGTCAATGTTCTACCTGAACAGGTAACAGGAGCGAATGTTCTACTTGAACAGGTTAATAACAGGAGTGAATGTTCTACTTGAACAGGTTAACAAGAGTGAATGTTCTACCTGAACAGGTTAACAGGAGTGAATGTTCTACCTGAACAGGTTAACAGGAGTGAATGTTCTACCTGAACAGGTTAACAGGAGTGCATGTTCTACCTGAACAGGTAAACAGGAGTGAATGTTCTACCTGAACAGGTAAACAGGAGTGAATGTTCTACCTGAACAGGTTAACAGGAGTGAATGTTCTACCTGAACAGGTTAACATGAGTGAATGTTTTACCTGAACAGGTTAACATGAGTGAATGTTTTACCTGAACAGGTTAACATGAGTGAATGTTCTACCTGAACAGGTTAACATGAGTGAATGTTCTACCTGAATAGGTTAACATGAGTGAATGTTCTACCTGAACAGGTTAACATGAGTGAATGTTCTACCTGAACAG